GCGACCGGGCGGTGCGGGGGGCGCCCGGCCTAAAGCCGTGTAAGGGCCCCAAAATTTATGAAGGCTGCCCTGCTCGAACCCATGCATCCAAAATGTGTGCCTCCCATGTTTCCATAGATTCCATCTGACATCCTGAGATGGAAAATGTGTGGGTAGACCATCTTGCTGAAGTGGACTTTTCTCAAGACTTGGAGGTTTTGGATTGCCAAGTAAGTCTAAAGGGTCCAAAACACTTTTAATTGTCACATGTCTTTTGAGACTAGGAGTGGAAACCCAATTTGGAAGAACAAAAGAAACGTTTAAAAGGTGGAAAAGAAGGAGTAGACTTACAAAGTGGATCCTTATTTTTCCACATCTGAGGTAAGTGTTCACACTTACCCCCTGTAGCCTTTTTAATAATTTTATCCAGTGCATCTCTGAAAATCTGATTGCCCACAGAGGTTAAGATCAAAAGTCCCTTCTTACATTGGGGTTCCACCGATCAGTACTTAAGCCAGATAGCTCTGCATATATGAATAGAGGAAACAGATACACGAGACAACAAATGACAAGCATCAAGAACATGAAATGAGAAGTGACAGTCATCTGATCAACACAATCAATAAAATGAGGATCAACTCCAGCGGTCGCCTGAACTGCACTCAAAGATTTTGTCCCAGTGGCCAAAGTCTTAGAAATAAGGACTGTAGCCAATTTTGGTAGAAAAGCCGAACCAGATAACTAATAAATGGTAGAAGAAAAATTCTCCAATCCAGGGATAATTAACGCTATGTTAAAATAAGAAATTGGAGGATCAACTTCAGGTTGAATAGACCATTTTTTTAAATCTTACAGAAAAAGATACAGGGACTTAAAGCATCTAGGAACCAGAAACGGCTTATCCTTATAGAAAAACATATCAAAAAAAGGATGAAGAGGAAAAACCTTGCAAACATGCTCAGATTTATGTGAACCTAGACTAGAAACAGCAGATGTAGAAATAACAGCAGAATCCTCTACATTTAAAGAGGAAAGCACAGCCTCAATTAAAAAGGCAACCTTTTATTTCTAATGCTGAGTAATTGCAGATGACTGAAAATCAACCCAAGCAGTCCCATCATCAAAAGAAACAAAATCACTGTTAGACATAGAATCTTCTGGAAAAACAACAGCAGTTTCAGAAATATCAGGCATTTCATCCTCAGAAAGGTGTAGGAGAAATGCAGTGTTTTTTTTACCTTTGTGAACAAGTACAAGTTTTTTCAAACAAGCTAATTTTCCATAGTGGAAAGAAATTCACACTTAGTAATAAAAAGCTGAGAATCTCCCCACAAGGAAAGAGCAGTATTAGAAACGGACAATGTATTGTCAGATTTGCTCCTAATAGTAGTAGTGAAAGCAACAAAATCTTTGCCAGCTTGCAAGAGGGGATTTCTGCTTTGCATATATTACAAATAACAGGCAAAGAGAAAGATTCCTCATGGTGTACACATCCCGCCTCCTAGAAACTGACATATCTGTTAAAAATAGAAAGGTTCAAAAGAACCATCTTACAAGTTTAGATACTTTCTAATATCTACAAATAAAAAAAATTATCATATCGCAACCTATCCCAAGAGTGATAAGTATGGATACTTCTTTGTGTAATTTCTTGTGTGAGGATACATGGAAGCACAAAGGTATTTCCCTGTTCTACAACAAGTTGGGTGATAGAAAATCCTTTTATAAGACCTCATCAATGAGGAAATGGGAGGAGGATTTATCCGCTGCCTACTCTGATGACCAATGGAAGGCTGCCATCAGGATATCATATACTGGCTCTAAATGCTCTGACCACTGGGTATTACAACAGAAAATTCTACATAGGTGGTACTATACACCATATAAACTAACAAAATTTGGCAAGGGTCACTCACCATTGTGTTGGAGGAACTGCATCGAGATTGGCTCGTTGCTCCATGTTTTCTGGTATTGCAAGTCTGTTAGATCCTTTTGGAACCACATCTTCAAGCTATTGCCAGAACTGGTTGAGAGCACGGTAGCCCCTACGGCAGCCTTGGCCTTGCTCCATTTGTCCATAGAGGTTCTCCCGCTCCGTGCTAAAACAGTTATCTTGCATCTCCCCATAGCAGCTAAGACGCTGATCGCCCAACATTGGAGAGACCCCTCTCCACCAAATTACAATGATGTTACCCGTATGTTGAACCTCCAATGTGCCTATGAATGTATTTTTGCTTTGAAAAGCGGTAAATTTAACTCCTACTTTACAGCCGGGGAGTGCTGGCTTAAACACACTATGTATAAAACTTGAAGATTTTAGGAACCTCCGTGTTTCCCTGAATATTTCCATGTAAATCATGTACAATATTCTCCTTGTACCTGTAATCATACCTGTCTTTTCTTTTTGGTTGCTTGCTATTTATTGTTTGCTGTCTTTTGTTTGTCAAAAACCTAATAAAATAATTGAAACAAAAAGGTTCAAAGGCCACAAATGTCCCCAATATACTCACGGCCCCCAACCAGTGTAAAGGCAAATATACAGAAACATGGCACCACAGACAGCAGAATACCCAAAAGAAGGAAAATGTCTGTGTATTAGAATAAGGATCTTCTGTGCTCCCAGAAAACAACAGAAATGGAAGGGGACAAGAATCTTTGAAGCAGAGCCAAAACCACCGCATTTCTCCAACATAAATAGATGATACTGCTGTAACAGAATCAGAAAGGCACACCATGCAGCCGTGTACATGTGCAGCACACAAAACTGAATGGATCATCAAAAAAAGTCCTGGCCTCCTAAAGAGAGGGTGGGAAATTTACACAAATGCAGTCAACTACATATAAGAAGCATTTAACTTAATAGGAGTCATAAACGTATTAAAATAACTGCAGACAAATCAATATTAAAATAATTTTGCCCAATAGGAGTCTTAAACATACAGCCCAAGCAAAATAAAAAGGAAGGAAAACACTCAACCTTATAACGTAGGTCAAATATATATATTTGTTTTTTTCCACTACATGACTCCATGGCCCCTTTCCCAATATAACAACAAGAATCCCCAGATAATACTGGCCTGACCGTAAAATTATAAAAATAGGAACACAGGACCACTGCAGGGTGTAAAAAAAAACAGGGACTAGAAACAACCGGCTTCTAGATAACTTGGGAAACTTCCAGGATTTAACTTATCTGGCATGAATCAACTAGCAGCTCTTGTCATCGAAGAAACAAAAAATCTCATAGAAGAAACAAAACAAACTAAAATAAGAAAGCAGCAGAACCCTGCGGGAGTAGCATAACCCTTCTTCTCTGAATTCTGCAGAACTGTGTCCCTCAATGGACGATCAAGAAAGAGTTGTTTTTTCATTTGTTTTTCCAGAAAACAAAATATTTTAGCCATACAAGAGCAAACAGTGTGAAAATTGTCAATTCAAGAACCAGATGAACGGTTTATAGCTTTGTATAGAATGTGATGACATATTGGGCAAATTATCATCAGAGCACATTTTAAGAAGCTTAGTTATAAACACATCAAGTTACTGTATATAGCTTTCATGTTTTGTTGCTTTGCATTGCATATACTACATGGTAACAATTTAGAGTACACAGAAACATTTCCAGAATTGATTAGTGTTTTATTAGTATATATTGTCTCTAGCTGGTTGAGAGCAAACACATATTGTGTTGGCTGGCTAACAGCTACTGTACGTGTAACAATAATTAACAAATAAATCCATAAGGAAACGGCCTGACCATGAGAAATATACAGCAGCATTGTCACCCTAGGCCGTGCACTACCAACTACCAACTACAGTACACCTCTCCTTCACCACATCTTATGGTAGGAGGGAGGTGTTTTGCATACTACAAAAGAGAACTGGGCAGGGATAGCTATGACACTTAGAGAAAATGTATGATCAAACAGGTCATTTGGCACTAGTGATGTCCAAGTAACTGACACAACTAACATTACTGTTGACAAGTTAGTACTGCAGATAGACAATACTGTACACATTACCACAGCCGTAATTCTTTGCGGCAAAAATTAAACAGCATGCCATTTTCGGCAGGTGTTGCCACCTACCAAACATAATAATTGATGTGAATGGCATTGCGCCACAACCGCGTGCCAAGTGGTTGCACACAGTTGAGGCTCGGCCGTTCCATGTAAAATTCTCTTTGTAGTTCCATGTAAATCAGGCATTCAGGAGGCAGCAGTATTGCCTCTTAAATGCCTACAAGCCACTTTTCTACCGCCCTCTGAAAAATTATCCACTGGGAGTCGCTCATATGAACAAGGCCATACTGTAAACCTATAAGAAAAAAACAAAGAAAAGAACAGCGCCTTTTCCTCGAGAAATACAGTTTATTTATCCAAATAAAAACTAAATAAAATCATACTCAGAAGCGGTGTCTGTTGTATGGAAATGTAAAACCACCTTCCGGACTGATATACAGAAATATGATTTTATTCAGTTATTATTTGGATACACAGTATTTCACGAGTAGAAAGCGCCGTTCTTTTGTTTGTTTTTTTTCTTACACGTTTCTTGAGGCTTGCCAACCTGTTACGGAACAGCAGCCCCCTTTGTGCCTCTCATTAATGTCCATCTTCAAATATTCCCTCCACTTGATGTTGTGAGACCCACCACTCAGCGCTGACTGATTTGGAAATACATACTGTAAACCCAGCCTAGGTAATATCCTGAAAGGAAATAGAATGATACAAAAGTCGAAACACAGCTCTCTATTCTTACCTCTGTTGTCTGTTCCATCAGCCTCTCTATTTCATTGTTCTGCTCGTTAACATAGTTAAATAAGGCAAAGTTGCGATCCTCCACTGCAAGACAAAGCAGGAAAAATTATATTGTATAAGTATATTGTATATTGTAAAAGTCAAAGGGAGGCGTGCACTGTCATGGAGAGCATATATAGTAATGCAAAAAAAAAATTTAAATACCGTACACTGGGGAGAGAGTCTTTTCATGCAGATTAAAGGGCAACACACAAATTCTTTAAATAACATACTTGGGGATTCCTTAAACCTGTAGATGGTGTTCTGGAACTGTACAATTTTAACGGACGATGTCAGGGACAGCATACACTGGCAGTGCATATTTGGCTGTGGAATTGTTTTTCCCCCCCGTATAATCAGCTTGGCTTATATACAGCAGCACCCTCATCTGATTCATTGCAGTTTGAATATTGTAATAATAAAAAAAAAGAATGGCATTGGGGTTTCCTCTAATATTCCAACAAAAACCCTTTTCAAGGCATACAGCTTGGATGGCCAGGAAATTAAGAGCAAAAAGTGTGCAGCCTCTGCTTTCTGTACCAGGCCAAGCCACATGCCTTTTCAACATTTGCTCAACAATGTCACCTGGGATCCCCGGCTTACCATGTAAGCATTGATGTGCTTTGGGTCATTGTGACTGACGAGGCTTACATAGCTGGATGATGATTAACATGGATTACATTGCTGAGCATTTATTGTGGTTCTCATTAAGAATTAAGAGACCACAGATGATACAGCAGTGTAAAATTGGCCAGCAGCAGGACATTTTTAATGAGAGAAAATTAGCCGAAATGTACTAAAGAAAATGAGTACAGGCAGGTGTTTTACTACAAGAATTAAAGTGACATTAAAGTCAAAAATGTTTCCCCCTCTCCCCATGTTAGCACTTACCTTAAATGGTGTCTCGTAATCCGATTTTCTTCTTCTTTCCTGATGTTTTCATCTGTCCCTACAGCGGTGCGGCGGCTCTCCGATCCAGCGCTGACTCCTCTCTGCTTGCTGGCACTTCCTGTCTTACAGTGTCTGCATGTGGGTGCACGCGTCCATAGACTTACCTTGCGTCTCTCCTCGTCTCCCGGCCGAAAATCCGAACTGTGCATGCGCTCGCCCCAAGATGCTTTGCGGCCGCCCGAGCAGTTTAGGATTTTCTGACAGGAGCGTGCGGCAAAGACGGGGTAAGTTTAAATGGCTGTTAAAGCGTTTTTTTTGTTTGTTTTTTAACTTTTTGCATATATCTACTGCTTGCAAGCAGTAGATATATGCAAACAAAAAAACGGAGGCTTTAGAAACCCGTTAAGAGACCACAGATAATACAGGATTTAAACACTAACCAGCAGCAGAACAATTTTAGGGATAATAGGCCTATCTGGTGCATGCCTAACTGTTATTGTATCTATGGGGATGGGGGGTGCAGTTAATGTAAGTAATATAATGTGAGGTGGTTTAGGTGAGCACTTTCACTTTCAATCACTTAGTCTTATCTTTCAAATGATGAAGTGGCATGCTGCAACTAAAAGGCAGCTCCAAGAACAGATGGTCAGGAAGAACTGAATGCTGAGCTTGGAGCCTAAGCAAAATAAAATAAAAAACAAGAGTCCCGAATAGAAATGAACACCCCAAAATATCCCCACTGAAACAAAAAGACAACATTTTTTTGATGGAAGTTTTGAGCAAAAAAAAAGCCAGTTTAATCTTACAAAGGCCCTATCAAAATACAATAAAAAAAAATATACCCGTAAAATAAATGAAAGCCCCAAAATAATACCCCGAAGGAAAAGCCCGCGTTTTTAAGGGAAGGCTTCCTGCAAAAAAAAGAAGCATTTTAAATTACAATAAGGCGCTATCAACATGTAACCCCCATCACCTGCTGTGAGGTTGCTACTAGAAATTTAGTGATTCACAGGGCTCTAGACAGTCTGGTTGGACATTGTTAGCATTTATCTGGTTAATTTCAGGTGTCTGGCATTGACTGTACCTACCTGGGTGGAGTGTGACTTTACGTGTAATGTGGGACAGCCAATGAGGGGCACTGTGAGTGTATGTGCAGTTCAGCAGCCAATCACTGGGTTTCTCTCAATCAGTGATGCATGCTGGTATAGGGTACATACACTGGAGGGAATTGCCATGTGCTCAGTCTAGTTTGGGACCAGCCATGGATTAGTACAGGGCTGTGTGCTGTCCAGCCTGACCCCCAGGCTGGGCCTGAGGATGGGCAGATGCTGGAGTGTGGGAAGAGTTTCCCTAGGCCTCAAACCTCGAGGACTCCTGTGCTGTTGGCAGAGGAAGAGAACCAGGAAAGCTGATGGCTACTGGAGGTGCCTGGAACATAGAGGAGCTCAGGAGCAAGTCTGGTGTCTCTCCTGCTGAGGATTTGTGCCCAATCCCTGCTCATCTACTACTCAAATTCCTATTCCATGTGCTACAAATGGATCTACACTAAGATGCTAAAAAGGAGTCTGGTGAGTCTGGAGCTTATGTATGTACTACACTGGATGCCTAGGACCCCTCTCCCCCCTCTCCCCAGTGTGAAGATGTTAATAAAATGTATTCAGCATTATACTACTGGAGTGGGTATCAGCTTTGTGGGCACTAGAAGAGGGCGGTTAAATGTTATTGGGGCAGCTGAAGACCAGAACCCGGCTCCTTCGGTGGTGAGCGCTACAAACATAAAATAAAAAAATACTTCTAAAATAAATGAAAATACTACGCCCTTGAAACAAAGGTCAAGAAACGAAGGAAAACCATGATGAAAGTGAACCATAACCTCATATCAGCCACATAAAAGTTCCCAAATGATAAGATCAAAAATAAAAATCTGCAGGAGCTTAACTGTCCAAAGAGCTTGCAATTAGAATGAGTGCAATTTCCTTCCTGACCCTAATCTCTCCTATGTAGTTTCTCTATGCTTTTCAGCTTCCAGTGCACTGACACTGACTGCTCTGCACCCCCCCTCTTTTATAGTGAGGGGGCTGGCACATAACAAAGCACCTATTACTGGCCCTTCTAAGCCAACTGACATAAGCTTAAATGCCCTTGCATTGCATTGTCGTTACAATTAACTTTGTGTCGCATTAGTTCAGTGGGTCTGCAAACCTAGCTTTGTCCTGAACCCAAATGTCATCCTTATTCATACATTATGGGCAAACTTAACATTCAGTCTGCAGATCTGCTCCAAAAGTCCTTTTTTAAGGGATTAGATCTGATTATCTACTTTTTTTACTTTATTAAAAAATAGAAATCTCTCAAAGATGTAAGCTTGGTGCACTAGGCATGTGGGTTGTATACAGTGTGTTGCAAACTGCTATACCTGGTGAATATTAGGCTGGTGTTCAGCAAGGGCACAAAAAAGCAGAGCCCCTTTACCAGAGGCGTAACTAGAACCTTCAGGGCCCCGGTGCAAGAAACCATTAAGGGCCCCCCTCAGATGCTGAGGTCGACAAATTCGACTACATCGGCGTTCTCGACCGGTGTTAATATGCCAATTACAGGTCTCTCTCATCTTTTTAAGTGGGAGAACTTGCACAATTGGTGGCTGACTAAATACTTTTTTGCCCCACTGTATATGCAAAAAAACATAAAAAAATAAAAATAAAAAACGTTACCAAAAAGGGTTTTGCTTAATTCTGTCTCCACCGCTTGCTCCCGTCCGAAGATCTGAAGATTCTCTAGTGGCCGAGCAGCATGATGGGGCGTGCACAGTAGAGATCTTCGGCCGGGAGAAGAGGAGAAACACAGGGTAAACATTAGCATGCAGCCTGGCAGCGTGCACGCAGACAGACTTCGTGGGACACAGAAGACGCAGCAGTCAGTGCTGGGTCAGAGACTGGCACCAGTGCTGGAGGACTCCTGAAAACTACTGGAAAGAAGATGATCGGATCAAGAGGCATCATTTAAGGTAAGTCCTGAAAGCAGAATGGGGGGGGGGGGATATTTGGGACTTTAATGTCCCTTTACTTTGTAGTGCCTATTCCAGAAACCATAAATGTGTAGATTGCTTTTAACTATATTGTCAACCATTAAAACTTAACTGATCTAGCTACAACTTTAACTATTTGCAATCATTGTCTTTGCTATGTTGATTTAGCTGGATCTATCATTTATCATATTAGGACAGATTGTGTAGTTCTGTCTGTTCAGATCTGTCCAAAAGATGTATCAGTCTTTTAAATTGGTGTCAATGCACCTTCTTTTGGATCCTAAGATGACCTATCTGCTGATCCACTTTTGTTCCAGGTACTAGTTTCACTGTGTGCTGACACCTGCTACAGAGCACAAATTGTGGCTTGTTCAATTGACACTACCAAGACTCTCCCTTAGGCATTAAAGACTATGGCATTTGACAGTTGTGTGACAGGGGGCTGTAATGTCCCCCGGCTTCCTGGCTCCTCCCGACTGCGTTCCAGGCTGGGGCGCATCGGCCGCGGTGCACGCCGCTCTCCTCCTCCCCCTTGACGGAAGTGTAGATGCGTTCCACGCTGGAACGCGGAAGTAGCCCACGGCCGCGTGACGTCACGGCCGCGGGCTATTTAAACTTGCCATAGATGCTGTGGGGTGTTCGATGATTGGGATCATAGCCCATACACCCCACAGGAACCTCACCAGCCGCCTCGAACCTCTCCTCACGGAGGAAACAGCTCCCCAGCAGCCAGCATCCAGTGGACATCTCTTGGAGGAATCTGATTGCACCTACCAGGAAACTGCAAGTATCTTCAAGCTATATCTTGACTATATCTTGGCTCACAGACGCTGCCCTCTGGTGGAGACTTTGGGTATCGCCTCTCTCATGTTTTCAATACTATACCCAGTTATGCTGTATGAAGGGGAGAATTGATGTTATCTGTCATAGAGACTACTCCATTCGCTCACACCTCAATTCCAGATAAGATTGCCATCATCAGGGATTGGGTTATTAGTCTGTACTACATCGAAGGTTATTACGGATTACTATTTAGCGGTCCATGATGACTTAATCCCCTACTCTCCGTTTAAGATTGAGAGAGCCGCCGGGGATTTAAGCCTGACAACCGCACTACACCCCCAGTTGGAACCGCAGCTGTGATCCACCATACTCTTCCCAAGCCGGGCCCTGACAGGGGCAAGCATGAGAGATGTGTCCTAATCTCAATTTGCAGAAAAGTTAAGCCATGTGTATATACTGTACTGAAAGTCAATTATGGATGATTCTCATGACTAAGAACTTTCAAATTACCACAAGAAGCCTGAATTTTTGCAAAGCTAATACCTTTTTTTCTTTTAGACATTTCTGCGATAACAGGGTGATTTCAGAAGTGCCCTTACAAAAATAACAATTCACATACCACCATTATCATTTGCAGAGACTTTCCAACATGTAGGGGACAAGCTTAAGGTAATGTGCAGCACTGTCCATGTTTACATCTTTATAGGTATCCTACAACTGTATATATCTAGGGACATTGGGACACCTAATGCTTTTCTTCCTGAGCTGCAGATGGCTTGATTTTCAGCAGATATGGGAAATCATTGTAATAGATAAATCTGACTATGTTTAGTATGGGTGCCAAATATTCATTTACAAAGCAGATATCTATATATCTATACAATGTATTTTTTGGACCAAACAACAAGCTTTTGTTCTACTGTAGTAAATAGTTTTCCATTGGCCAAAACAAAAATGCTAATTACTGAAAATGTGCAAAAAATGTGCAAAGATCACGTATAGAAACATGCCAAAAAAGTGCAAAAAACAAATCAAAGACGCCAACACTCACATGTGAATGTAGACTAAAGTGAGGCCAAATTCAAATGCTATTACTATTGCTGGTAGGGATAAATAAAGAGTAACAGAAGGGATGAAATCGTTACATTGAGAAAGTGCTGCTTTATATTATCTTCAGTGCAAGCCACATAACCAACTGCATTGGCTCTTGTTCACATAATTTCTACTAAAATGTATGATGAGCAACCCTGAACTGTGATCACTCCATCCCAGCAGGACTCTTAACACAGCCTTTGTTAAAAAAAAAATATTATTTAACTTTAACAAGTATAGAAGACAATATATTTACTATACAAACAATGCCCTTTGTTTTGCAATGTAAGCCTGTCAGTACTACTGAACACAAACACTGTGTTTCTATTGTGTAACTTATTCTATCTGCAGTCTGCAACATACCAAAGAGGTCATTACAGTAGAGCACTTTATTTATAACCGTGTATTTTCCCCCAAAGTGTGATAATCTAAATCTTACAAGACAGTTTGCTTTTCCTTCCCAGGGTGCTACCTTTAAAAGAGAGAAAGAAAATAAAACATCACAATAAGCCTGGGGCGAGCCGACACAGGAAGAGGAAACTGCCACTTTAAATTATCAAGACAAGTAAACATTTTTTAACCTTGTTTTCCGCTTGGATGTGTGGACCTCACTAATACTTAACTCTGTAAAGGCAGTTTATCAATGTAAAGTGTGCTATAATTTATCTTATACTGAAAAAATAGTGACAGAAATAGAAAAAAGAATCACACTAAAGGTTCTGCAACATATTACAACAACTAATATAACAACAGAACAAAAGGAACTGTTGGGTATTTAGGTGACTCCGTGGAACCATTTCACGGAAGAGGTAACACATTACCTTTATAGCCAAAGGACATTTTTGCAGTGAAAATATACTTTTAGTAGTAAAAACAAGGAAGAGCAAGAACACAATTCAGCAGTTTATCTACTGCTTAATTACCTGGGCTGCCAGTGCCAGTGTAGCATACATACCTCCATCACTTGATATGACAATGAGCAATACAAAACATTTCCATATTTACATCAAAGTTTCCATGTATGAATACCCGTTCTAGGCTTGACATAAGTGTAATGTCTCTTGTACTGTCATGCCGAGCAGTACATTTAAATTGTATTTTTCCAATGGTAATAGGGACTTCTTCAGCTACAATTTCAGAAGGACATTTGACGTGCAATGACAAGTTATAAGCAGTCAAAGCTAAAATATCGATTATAAAAATCACAAATTCTTCAGGCTAAGGCCACATTCAAAAACTTGCAGGCGGCCACAATAATGTAAAAAAAAGGGCACAATAGTGTGTAATTAACATTAATTAAACACAACATTGTATTTTAGGTGCATGACATTTAACTAAGCACAGGGACATGTATGGCCAAAAATATTGGGTTACTCTTTGCCTGTCAAAACGTAAAGAGACTGTGCCACCAGCCCTGGCTTTAGTTATGCCTTGAAAAAGTACATTCCTAATACTACTTACAGGAATACCTTTTTTCTCTAAATTGGGTGTACTTTTTAAATTACAAAGCACAAAGTTTGACAGAAATTACTGTTGCATTCCATTCTGTGCCTGTCACAACTGCTGCTATCTATAGCAAATTATGTGGTTTTCATTGGGCTCCCCACACTGCCTTAACATTCAGGTTATCTATCATCCTGAGAATGAACAGGGAGCCACACAGAGAAGAGCCAGCAGCCACAGCAAAAAGGCTGCTATTCAGCTCAGTGATGCAATTATACTCTGTAGCTCTCCTGTATCTGCTCTCCGCTGACAGAAGAAGCTGAAAATAAGGAGAGCTAGCATCAAGTGCAAATATGCTGGGATTTATAGTAAACAAAGGGTTACCTGTCAGAGGAAAGCCGATTCCTCTAACACAGTTGAGACAAATACCAGCATTTTTGCAGTTGCTGCCGACTCTCCTCTGTGTGATATACGGTATTTGCACTTGCTGCCACTCTACTCTGTGCAGCATATTTGCCGCTGCTACTGGCTCTCCTCTGTGTGGCATATTGCAGCTGATGAAGCTGTGTCTCCTCTGTGAAGCTGCTGCTGGCTCTCCTCTGTGCGGCACATTTGCAGCTGCTGCTGGCTCTCCTCTGTGCGGCACATTTGCAGCTGCTGCTGGCTCTCCTCTGTGCGGCACATTTGCAGCTGCTGCTGGCTCTCCTTTGTGCTGCATATTTGCAGCTGCTGCTGACTCTCTTCTGTGCAGCACATTTGCAGCTGCTACTGACTCTCCTCTGTGCAGCACATTTGCAGCTGCTGCTGACTCTCCTCTGTGCGGCACATTTGCAGCTGCTGCTGGCTCTCTTTTGTGCTGCATATTTGCAGCTGCTGCTGACTCTCTTCTGTGCAGCACATTTGCAGCTGCTACTGATTCTCCTCTGTGCAGCACATTTGCAGCTGCTGCTGGCTCTCCTTTGTGCTGCATATTTGCAGCTGCTGCTGACTCTCTTCTGTGCAGCACATTTGCAGCTGCTACTGACTCTCCTCTGTGCAGCACATTTGCAGCTGCTACTGACTCTCCTCTGTGCGGCATATTTGCAGCTGCTGCTGGCTCTCCTCTGTGCGGCATATTTGCAGCTGCTCCTCTGTCCAGCTCCTGGGTCATCCTCAGGATGATATATGACATGAATGATAAGGCAGTGTAAGGAACTCAATAGAAACGCCTGTTGTGGAAGCAGGGAAGTGGGAAGGAAAGAACAGCAGCAATTGTGACAGTTTTGAATTGCTGTGAAACCTAAACTGCAACATACGATACAATTTACAGAAAAAAGGGCAATCCTAAAATTAGTATTAACTCGTTCAAGGCTTAAAAACAAAAAGTCAGGTCTAGTGACAGAGTGGCTTTAGACTATTACAACCCTAAAACTATTTGGATAGTTTTGAGTTAAATTTGATTATGCTAACATGCGTTTATGTATTTTTTTTGGAGCTCCTGTCAAGATCTGCTGTGAAGTTCTTCTGCTTCTATTTTGCTGACTTCTTGCACTGTCTTTACCAGAATTGTCAACACTATTGATTACAATGAGGAATCTTCCATTAGCATAATCAGTGAGCGAAAACCTCTAAATCTTCCCGGCATTTCTGTGTAAGTATGTATTATGTGAACTCACCAGGAAGCTTTGTTACCTTCCTCCTAAAATAAAAGTAGTTTTTTTGAGTGAGGTCATTCGTTTAATATATGATGTTTTCTGTGATGGTTAGTCCTCTGATTTGACAAGCCAACAATATAATCCCGTGATAGGTTATGGAAACCATACTCCTTAAGAATGATCATAATATAGCGCAAATCATTTTTATGTAGGTTTTATGAGGGTCTGTGATTGTGAAATAAGCTATATACCACTAAAAAATCAACATTATTTTAACAAAATGAGTTTGCATTATGGAATAGATAACTATGCGAGACTGCAGATATTTCAAACATAACAGTTAAGCAGCAAAACAATAGGAGGATGTGACAATGGACTTACCTTCAATAAACCTGTTGACGAGGATGTCTAGGTTGTCTTCCCCAGTAATAGACTGTATCTGCTGAAAAGCTTGTTCATATGTCTCAACTGTTTCTTCTGTTGGATCACGTTTTTTTCTTTCTAGTGCTTCTTTTTCTGTTCCCCATGCAATAAACAAATTCCAAATGTTACATATAATTAATATAAGCCAACTAAACAAATCTGTTTTATATTATTTAAAGTCAAATTGGAGCCAAAATGTGTTTTTTTTTAAAGAACAGGAGAGGGTTAACACTTTTATTGCTGTCTCTGCCCCCGTTGGGGAGATTTCCCCTTACCTCCTGTTAGGACAGGAAGTGATAGGATATAACAACACCAACAAAAACACATTTTTAGTAGAATAAGGAAGGATTCAAACTTTTAACAACACATTCAAAGCTCTCTGTGTCTGGGTAATTACCAGGCCCTACATTTTTTGTATGGGTGTCTCAGGGACAGACAGAGAGGACAGATCTTATAGACAAAAATAAAAACCTCACAAAGATGTAAATTCTTTCCCCACTTTATCCAAAACTAAACATAAAAATGGCTGTTAATTTTAAATATACTAGTGAGAAATAAATACTAAAGACATAATCTTAGAATGTAGCATAAAAGTAAATTAAGTACTTGAAGTCATAGGTCCAAAAACCTTTGTATGTCTTATCAGGGATGCTGTGCTATGTCTTATAGTGCCCATATACTGTTTGAATTTCAGCCAGTTTTTGAGGAACCGGCTGAAATTCGCATAGTGTGTGCCACTTTTGGCACCCTTTCGATCGTTATCCCTCGATCAGCTGATCCAAGGCACCGGTCGGAACATCTTTGATCGATCAGAGCCGGCAGCCAATGAGCTGCCCACTCTGGTCTAGTGTTTTGACAGGTGCCGGCAGCACCTGTCAGAATACAATGTAAACACCGGGGATTCCTCGATCGACACACTGTTAGTGTTGATGGGAGGAATCGGGTCTATTTTTTTCCTTCAGCCTGTGGGGTAAACTAAAAAAATTGATCAGTGTATTTTCAGCCTTACACTATAAATCTTAGTACTGGGTCTAAACTAACAACACAAACTCCTCCCATCCACCAAACACCAACACAATAGCTGTTCCTTCTATAGCAGGCACATAAGATCTGTTGAAGCAGAAAACAGCTAAAAGACCAGGAATAAAGAAGACATACATTGAAGGTCCTTACTTTGCTTATAGGAAGCTTTAGAGGGTAAAATATTTAATCCACAAATACTTAGTTTTTAAAACATGGTGACTCCAGGGCCTGTTTTCTCTATTTAGAAACTAAGGCTGGCCATAAACTAATAGCTCTTTATTGTTCAGCCCAAAGAGCTGAGCAGGAAAAAAAGCACTCAATCCCACCCTCCATTTTAAACAGTGTGGATGGGCCAACTCCCCTCGCCACAATCAGAATACACTGTACACTGTTTGGGTGCAATTTCCGTGTGTTCCTACTCCTTTAACAAAAGTAAATGACAAAATAAAACCTTTGTTGGGAGGGGTCCCAAGGGGGGAAAACACTGCTGAAATTACGACCGAGGCAGCAGGAGGGGCTGGCGGCAGTCAGTAGAATTATCCAGGGAAAGGCGGAGGTCAGTGCAGGTTGCATGGTGTAATCCAGGAACAAGCCAAATGTCAGGGCAGGCAGCAGACAAAAGAGTAATCCAATGGAGGAACTCTATCCTGCAACTCATAAGTTTAAAGGCAACTAGATGAATCCACTTAGAAATAGCGGATCTAAAAGCTGAGCAACCTTTTATAGAACCTTTACGTGAAACAAATAAAGCATCCGAATGCCTAAAGGAAGCTGTGGCTGACAGATAAACTCTAAAATTCAGCACAACATCCAAAAAATGAAGAGACATTTCCCTAGGACGAACAAGAGCTGGACAAAGAGCTGGACAACGAAAGTCGTGCGATGGTTGTAAGACAGCTTTAGACTTCTTTCACACTTGCCACTTGCATTTTTATGCAGAGATCTGTCTGCAAAACCCGTCAGGATAGATGCTTTGTTTATGCTTCTAGATGCTTAAAATGACACCTATGCGTTTAGATTCACCTGTCCTTTGTCCATTGAAACAGTCCCTTAAAGTAGCCAATGAGATTTCAGCAAATAAACGTGTCTTGCATTTACATGCATTTTGGTGTGTTTAGAAGTTAAAATTAATTCCTGGACGCACCTGTCTTTTTTTTTTTTAAGCAGAGCTAAACTGACTGCAGATAAAAGCATCTAAATGCAATGTGTGAATAGATCCACTGGAAATCATCAGATACATATATATGTGTTTAGAAATCCATTTAAAATGCATATAAACATATCTAATTGCACCTAGTGTGAATGTAGCCTAAGTGTTCTCTGCAGGCCCCAGCAGCACACTCTTGCTAATTAGACCCCTCTGCTGGTTCTTTCCAGTAACCGCCCACTGCCAAATTGCAGACCTCCACAGCACTAGTCTCTTTTCAAAGGAGATGTCTACTCTGGCTAATAAGTGCTGTGTTGTGCACCCCAAAAACATAAAACCACCCTGCAGCATCAGAGCTCACATGCAGCTCTTCATTTTCCAGTTGGCTAATGGCTCCAGAACAAGCAAACCACAACTGTGCATGCTATAACATCATCTTCAAGGGACAACCACATGCAGCACTGGTTGGCAAGTGCATGCTCAGTAGGGACAGATAGTGTTTTAACATCTCTACCACCCCTGGCCACTAATGATACTGCAATTCCTCCTTACATTCACACTAGCCCGCTTGCTTAAATGTTGCATTTTAGCGTGCAGGCTAGTTAGTGTCTGTGTGAAGTTCGGCGTGACTCTTTTTTTTTACTTTATTGAAAGTGTACAAAGTTGCCTTCCAATTATGCCTCCTCACAGCACTGTGGTGCAACGCAGTGAGATGAGAAATGTAGCATGTATGCATTATTGCGCACTGCAATACATATCACCCCTGCACTACAGGGTAGATTTTGAATACACTTAAAGGGTGCCATGTCTGAAAAAAAGATTGAGAAACACTGTTTTAGACCAATAGCATTTAAATCAACACATCTCTGTTGGCTTGGAACAGCAGGAACGGCTTCTTCTACCCGATATGTTAAAAATGTTGCCTCCTGGTTTACACACATTTTATTCTCTGAACCGCCCAAAAGAATCCTTGGTAACTTTCACATGCATTTCTGCTAAGCTCTTACAATTACCGGTTTATTTGGACTATCACAAAATCTATCCTGACCTGCACACTATCATGGACATAGCCTTGTCATATCTTAGCTTTTGTGTTTTCCCACAATAACTATCTAAATGTTAACATCTAAATATCATGATTTTCAAGGGATTGCAGGCATTTTCTTGACACCGGTAACTAAGAGGTTTTGTGAAACAATAAGACTGGCAGTCACCTCTCCTACGTCGGGCATCAAGCACCTCCTCACTGATAGCGCGCTCCTGAGTTTTGGTTCCCATAAACTCTTTTAGTCTGCGGTCATGGTCAATCACTCGCTGTAGCTCTTTTATTTCTGCTGTGTGCTGGTTCAGATCCTTCTCAGCTTTTTCCTTCATTTGCTGCACTTTTGTTTGGGCCTCATCCCTTAATTTACCAAAAAATAACAAAAAATGCTTTTTTAGTGAAATATAAACACATGTACAAAGACAGATACTGTTGTGGCATTTACAATTATAAGTGTTGTATACTTTGTGTGCCTGCATAGTTGTCTATCCAATCAGCGGGCACACTTACACTATCTAATTATATTAGATATGTAACTGATGCTCAAAATAGTCCCATAGAAGGGCATACCTGGCCATATAGTATGCACATCAAAAAAAGAGATATACTGTATAACTGGAATATACAACAATGTTATATCAATAGTATACAGTATATAAAGATCAGGAAAAGGGGCTAGTCATAAAGATGGCCCCCCACATATAACACGGAGGGTTAAAAAAAAAGAAAAAAAGACGACCAGCACAAAGCACATGACATGGCTGTGTTATATATATAGAATATAAAATCACACATTTACATAAAACACATATGTTATGCATAATTCCTAATGATCAAAGCCTTAAGTTTGCAAACACAGCAGCAATTATATTACATAAAGTGCAATAGTGAAGTACTGTATATAGTGAAGATATATAGCGAGAGAGACAATTTCTAGAAAGCAATGGCACACAAATCAATGAAATAATAGATTAAAACAAGTTGTCACACAGAGAATCGACTTATAAAAGAGAAAAATCAAAAGCATAAAATGTGAACTTTTGATTTTATGCTTTTGTAAGTAGATTTTGTGCGCTGTGAGCAAATTGTCATGTGCTATTACTGTTTATGATTGCTATCTAGTTACTTCTTGGCATTGTTATCACTTCATGTATTATGTTTGCTGTTCTTTATGCACTTCATAATACAATCATTTACTTTGATCACCAGGGAAGACATCCGTTTTTATGTTCATGTTAATTTACTGGTATATTAATAATGTTTTAGCATATTCCACTTGGCTTTGTAGACTGTACCACATTTAATGCATATCATCTATTGACTTTACTGCACATGCTTTTTATATCTTATTTATAGTCCTAATGAAGGGGACTGGTAAAACCCCTGAAATGTGTTTGCTATCTTTTTTAGACCTATTATGAAAAACAATTGAACCAGACTGCCAATCACACTGTATGCCTGGTGGTCTCTTCATTCTTCTATACGTATTACTATCCTTCTTTGGATCCATTGTACCTTAGCATACTCTTCACTAATACAGCAACAGGCCTTAATAGCTCATTTAGCTCTCCACCAACATATCTTTATTTTGAAATCATGGAATTTTTGATGTGCTGATCAGTTTCAGATAATTACACATTGTGAGTTTCCCATTCAAACTAAAAGTATATATTTCAGAATATCACCAGATGCAGTCAAAGTATGGCAAAAACATAGCAAAAGCACTTGTACAATTACTGTACTGAAGATCAGTTTGCATATACCATATGTGTTTCAGAACACTGTCTCCTCCAGCACATGCATTGTTAACAACAATGCCCAAGAAAATGCAATATGCAGTTAGCAGCCAATCAGATAGATTTCTTGGTATTGATTAATTAAACTGGTGAGTATTAAAATCGAATCCCTTGTGCTTCACTGACCTCTGCACACTTTAAATACAAATTCTTGGTTTTGCACATTATGTTGCACCATTGGGTTTACAATAATTTTCTTCAGCTTGGAACTGCACAAACTCCTGTGCACTGTCCAAAGGTGTCCTCCAGAGAATATGTAGATCTTTCTGAATGACAATTTATTAGTGCTGAATGCACATTAGCCCTGTGGCATTTGAGATCTATTTTGTCTTCAAAGCTGGATCAATGATTATTGACACTTGTGACCACCAGAGATGTCTCTCTCAAAGCCACAGACATTTCCAATAAGTATGGGCCTTCAGGATGCCTAATCTGTATTCGGCAGGGACTACCTCAATGCAACCATCTTAAAAAGCCATTAGAATGGCCACTATTTTTGTGTCCTAAGCCAATCAGTTATATTTTGGGTAGAGCGTGTGCCTAACTTGATCTATCAATAAATACTTAATCAACTGCAGCTTTTAAATGATACCCATCAAAAGAATAAAATGGAGGCTGACACAGCTGATCTTTTCTAATGAAAATACCAGTTGCCTCGATGTCATGCTGGTCCTCATACCCAAGGAGAAGTATGCAACTTATAATTTTTTCTCTGACAGCCCTCATCTGTTTACTCATCCCAGGTGAGTCATTTAGAATGTACTTAGAGGATCAGTATAAGTGCCTGGTGACTAGCATTTTCAGAAAGAGATCAGCAGTGGCAGCACCTGTAGTTTTCTCTTGGTAGGTTTACTTTAACATAAAAAAGGTCACTCATTTGAGGTCACTTTTTAAATTAGATAGCTCTTTTATGTACTTGAAAAAAAATTACAAAATGATTGGTTGTTATTGACAGTTTTCCGTCACCCACCATAATTTAAGGCCCAATGTTAGGTAAAAATCATGAGACAATTGTGCTGATTTACGAAAGAAGTTGAGAATTCCCACACAGTAAATTATGTGAATATTTACTTTAATTATGTAATGATTGTGTTTTATTGTGTAAAGAGTATCAACTTCTTTGGTAAATCAGCCTCAGTCCCTCATCAATGGGACCCTGAGACAGACACTCATCATTGGGACCCTGATACAGTCACTTATCATTGGGACCTTGAGACAGTCGCTCATAATTGGGGCCCTGAGACAGTCACCCATCATTGGCATCCTGAGACAGTTACTTATCATTGGGACCCTGAAACAGATCCTGAGGCATACTCACCTAAATGGAGTGCTAGACCCATAGCACTGTCTGGGCAGGCTTTTAATGTCAAATTAATTCAAATTAATGCAAACTGCAGAACTGTTCAGCACCGATGCTGCTATCTTTTTTTTTACTTCTACTGCTCCCACATACAGCTCCCTCCAAGCAGTGATATTGTCCGATGTGACTCTGAAAGCACCTACACTCAGAACTATTCATTTTACAAGTAACAGTGTCAAGACACCAGCAAGTATATTGCAGAACACAAACAACTTCATGAAGAAGATCACATCTAGGCCCCCTTCATTAAGGTAAAGACTTTCAACAAGGCATCTTCTTTACACCGTGCTGTACAAAACCAGTTGGGGTTTCCAAGCAATAAAGACTTAAGTATATCCAAAGCCAATTTGTTTTTTTTTACTTTTGATAGAATGGAGAAGCATTTAAATTATTGTCAGGTTTTTATTGGGGTCTGTGTTGCCACTGGGGAGATTTGTCACGGTCTGGGAAGTGGGGCACAAGGGAAAGTAGGCTCTGGGGCTTACGGAGCGAGTTAGGACTAGCGAGCTAAAGTGATGACTGGGATACAGGTCACAGGGAACCCAGGGACTGAGGTGACTGTGCATTACTGGGGATTTGCTAGAGGCGCAGGATCTAAGGAGGGCCGGGTCTTCACCATAGCCCCATAAGGTAGGGATGTTACGATGCCAGACACCTCCCAGGTTGCGGCCCTCTAGCACACCTGTAAAGACACAGACAGGTTCAGAGTGGATTGGCAGGAAGCTGAGCACCTCGGACAGGAGGTAAAACCTGGTGACGGATCAATGCACAGGGAAGAGTGACAAGATTTAACCTTTCCATTTAGCTGGAAGCCATCGTCGTAAGAACAGAAAATGATAGAAAGTCCAAAAGTTTACAGTTGCTATAGAAACCATCCAAAGGAGACAATTGCCTAATAGGTGATACTTTTGAAGAAATGTCCACTTCCTGTTTTTTCTCAGGGACAGGAAGTAAATAGAAATCTCTCCAATGTGGAAAACACAGAGAAAAACATGACACTACATTCACTATCCTACCAAAAACAAACAAAAAAAAATGTTTGATCTTTAGACAAACTTACATTTTCATCTTAACGCATTAGGACATTAAATAATGTGTCTCTGATTGTTATTTTGGGTAATTGCTGCTTATACACTGCACTGACATTACCCAAGACAGGAGAAGAAGTTCAGACACTCCCCTATATAAGACGTTATCCTTTAATTAGTTTTTGTCATCCTGACCTGTATGGCCTAAGCCTAAATATAACAAATGTAATTTTCTTATTGTTAAAGCAAACCTGGCATCATAGGCAGCAGATGACTCATCAATCACTGTGGCGATTTCCTTTCTCGTTTGTAACAATTCCTAAAAAAAAAAATATATATATATATATATATTACTAGGAAATATAAAATTGTTATATAATGCTGTTTTAATCTACTTTCTAATGTCTTTCCTTATGCTGTCAATAAATCATGAGAGACTAGGTCTCCAATGCTAGAAAATAGTTTTTTTGTACGGAGTAAAGGTTCTAATTGTTATCCTATTTCTCACCTTTTCAAGCTTTTTGTAGAGTTGATCAAAGCGAGAGCGCTCAATTCTCAGGATGTCAATCTCTTCCCTCATCTTGGCATTTTTTGTCAGCTGCAGATTGAATTTGGTCAGAACCTAATAATCACATAAGGAATGGAGAATAATGTTAGCAGATTTGGCATGCACGGCCAACGTAATTATAGCACAAAAGTCCCGGCAGACACTGCAATAGTTGAGCACATTATGGAACACTGCAGTGTTATAAAAATAAATAAATACCATTGTAACCTACCAAAAACTGAACTGTGGAATGAGAATAGATTTCCAAGTAAGTACTTATTAGCAGTTGTTGGTGGAGGCCTATGAGTGTCTACTGCAGTCTTCTGAGCCTAATAAGTAGGCCAATAGTCAAACTATTGTAGCACCCCCCTGAAGACCTGTGGTGGACCCCCAAAGGCAGGGGGAGCTGACATTTAACTTTCAGGTATGGATCTTTAGCTGGGCTGTGGGATATGAACAGCAAATTGGGAGCCAGTCACTTTAAGGACTTTTTAGATGCTTTATTGTAGAACAGCCAAACTAGGAAAGAGGGTATAGGGCTAAAATAGATTATATTCATAGCAAAAACAGACTCCAGACTCACCAATCACTTCAAGCTTCCATAGTGTAGAAATACTTTAGTAGAACAGAGGATGACACTGGATGAACATGAGATCTTCCCTGGGAGAGACACAAAATTTGTTCCTGAGGTCCATGCCATCCTGGCCTTCCTGGCACCTGCAGCAGTCATAGACTCATCTGGTTCTCCCCAGATAGTTCCAGACCCCACCTGGGTACACATCTGGCCTCCTGCAGGCTTGAGGCCAGGTCAGCTTCCCAATCTTGCACCTCCCGCCCCCAGGCTAAGCCCGGGGGGCGGACTGCCCCAGAGAAAATGGGAATCCCTGAGTATTTATGCACTTCTCCAGCATGCACCACTGGCCATGAAACCACTAGTGATTGGTTGGTGAGGCACAGACATTCCCAGTGTTCGCCTATTGGCTGCCCCACTCTGTGGCAGGGTCACACCCCACTTACAGGTAGGTGTAATCAATAGCAGAACACCTAGAATTAACCAAGTGATACCAGACTACAAATTAGCCAGACTGATTACAGTGCTAGCATCACTAAATTTAGGAAGCCACTCCACAGGGTGGAAGGTCCTACACTATCATGCTGAGATCACTGGTATAGGATATCAAGCATCAGGTGTTTACTTCCACTTTAGTCTGGCTATATACCCACAGATGAAACCAGTTGATTCTTTCAAGCCTTAACATTAAAGCATATCTAAACCCAAACATAAACAAATTATATATTGCAGCTTACAATCCTTAAATGTGGTTTGCAACACATAACATGACCAGCTATCAGGTATTATTCCAATGTACTGTATCTCCCGTAAATCACTAATAGTTATGTATCTTGCAACATACAGTAATATTAAGAATCATTTGGTTTCAAATAACAGGCATATGCATGGTACTAATTATCTCCTAATTATCTCCTTTTAGCTGTGATCAAATCTGTGTTCAATAGAAAATAATTGTCTTTTAAATAATTTAAAACCAAGTCAAACACATGGCATGATCCAGTCCTGAGGACATATTCATACTGTCAGTTTGGTCTTACAGCACTGTATGTATTCTTTTTTCAACACAAATGACAATATAGTGGAGTTATATATGATGAAAAGGGTACTAAAATGTACAGAGAAATCTACAAAACAACTGACACCCTTTAAAGATATTGTTCACCTTAAAAAAGAAAAAAGAAATAATAAATGCACGCATATTCATATAAGAAAAAAATGTGCAATCATTATTTTTTTACATTGGAGCAAACAAAGCATTGCAACCGTGATCAGTGGATGGTAGGTGCAATGCTCTGGCTCCTGCAGATTCTCCCTCCTGTCCCTGTCTATACCGAGGTACGGACATTGTTTGTTTGATCAGAGTTACAATTTAAGTTTTAAAATGACACCTGTTTTGCCGGCTATGCTACAATTTTAGGTAATGCAGTTTATCAGTTCAATAAACAACTGATATCATGAGTATAACATAGGGCACAGAGTGCCCTATGTTACAATAATGATGTCAGGGAAACTAGAAAATTTAATATGCTGCTAAGCATTTACTATTCACCAAACACAATGGCTGCCCACATTGCACAAGGAGAGTTAAAAAAAAAAAGTTCTTCTATATAGATTGGTGTCATATGCAGCCTTAAACATCAATCAATGTTATTTACATAGCCTTGGTACAAGGACACTGTGTATGTACTGTAGTGCTCACCCGGTCCAGTCGGTTTTCCTTAACCTTGACATTCTTCTGTGCCTGGGCATTTTGTGTGGCAGACCCTGAAGAGCTTCTCTCTTGTTTTCTCTGATCTGAAAGTTTTCTCTCCCAGGAGTTTATCTATGAAACAGTGTTTTGCATTTTAAGGGAATCTACAGTCACAACTTCAAAAAATGCATTTAAATATTTTTTTTTGTCAGGTAAATATTAAATCATAAATAATACCATTTTGGGGCTGATTGAGAAATCTTCTGCCCAGCATATACCTGGGCGAATGTCATTCCTATGGCACTACTGTAACTAGACGGTGCTCTATCCACTGGCAGTAATGTCATGTAAATGGCATTGGCCCAACTATAAGTTGGGTAGAAGAGATATAAATCAGCCCCTAAGTATGTCTAGTTAGGGCTCATTCACCCTATGTGTGGTGACTTGTGTTTCTCTACACAAGAACAATGCAGGTCAGTAGCATAGGATACAGAAAACAATTGTTTTCTTTGTGCCCTGCTCACACTTCAATGCAAACTCCATCCTGGTATGTGTAATGTAGCCATCCCTGGAGGCAGCGGGTGACTGCGTACATCATTCTCACAGGGTAACGTTCCATTCACACCAGATGTGTTAAGGCTGTGTTGGACATTTTCTCCTGAGCAGCCCCAATGAAAGAGAGGGCAATTTGCCTTGTCACAGTTAGACACCATTCACACGACCGCATTCTAGTAGAACACGGTATTGTGCGCTGGAAAAAAAAGCCTGCAGTACTTTTTTTTTAGTGCAGCGGGATGTAATGTAGTACATTTCAATAAAGTTCTAATAAACAAAGTACACGGTGCAATGTGCCAGGCTTGGCACATCGGCACTGTGCCAGGCACTGCACATCAGCTGCTGTATGATTTAGCACAGTGGCTGTATATGGGCTAGAAATGTAAAAATATTCAAATGAAAGTCAGTTTGTGTTAAAACTTTTTTTTTTATTGTCTAAAAGGAAGTGGAGAAGAAGCCGATGAGACGATGTTACTTGTATGGGTGAAGGTCCCCTTTAAATTTCCTTACAATGCAACATACACAAACATAGTTGCTTCCACAAGCAGCTCTTCACACAAATGTTTTTTTTGGTGACAGATGACCTGAGCATTTGGTCTTACATTTTTTCTCACATAATTTACCTTTCGATCTAAATCACCAATGATTTTCCTCTCAGTTGTTATCTGGTCATCCAGCTCGTCATTTTGTTCCAACAAGGTGTGAAGTTTTTCCTGGCTGTCCTGATCACGGTACTGATTGCTACGACTTTCTGCAATGTTTAGGGTCTTCAGCAGCTCCTCTCGCCTTTTCTCCAGTGCACAAATCTCTGCCCTGATCAAAGACGACAGAGTTGAGCATATACACAAATGGTGGAGTGTTTATAGAATTAAAACTCTTCTAAATTACAATAACTACATCTGTGCGGCCTTTCCATGAAAACCATCCTTTCCTTTAGACATACAGAGGGGAATTTATCAAAACTGGAGTAGACAAAATCTGGAGCAGTTGCCCTGGGCAACCAATCAGCTTCTCTTTTCAGTTTGTTCAGTTAAGATTTGAGAATGAAAGAGAGAAGCTGATTGGTTGCCATGCTCAGCTGCTCCAGATATTGTCTGCTCCAGTTTTGAAAAATTCCCCTCACAGTATATAGGGACCATTATGTCTCACTAACAAGCATGGAATGACAATAAGGCAACTCTTGTATTAACTAGACAGGCTAGGCTAATTTACAGGACTAATAGGTTGGTAAGCTTCCATCAGTCTGGATCGGTTTTAAAAAATGCGGGACAACACTTTAATTCCTCCGCCAACACAAACCTACAACAACAAAAAAATTGTTGTTTTGGAAGAACATTCAGAAAGTCCTTGCAAAGCCTGGAGTTTAGATTGCCAACAGCTATGCAATCTTCTCAAGTAATGAGTTAGATCTGAGCATTTGCTGCGACCATTGCCATTGTAAACATTTATATGTTTTGGAGTACATGACTATGGCGGTTATAAGCACTCTGGGATCACACCAAAGCTCACTGTAAAATATGCATTTGCAGTAACAATATCTAACTTTTATTATTCTAAATATTACTGTTAGTCTTATTGGTGGTAATAAAAATGTAGCACCTAGTATTTTTTTTAAAGTGAATGACTACAATGTAATTCCCTTCCAGTCATTCTAACTGGTTGTATACGAGTGGAGGTCCATAACTTTTCTCAGCAAGGGCTTTTCTTGACATGGTTTTCAAAAACATTTCAGTAAATTAGCTAAGGAGCTACAACAAATCTTCTCTCAGTACCAACATCAATTGCTTGCTTAGTACATAAAATTTAATAGCATCTTCCTGCAGCTCATACTGTCACTCTTCAAAGTGCTGGCAGCAGGAGAGGAGTGAATTTGATGTGCCACTTAATTGGTGCTAGTGTTGTCTTTAATTTAAAAGTTCACATATTCTGCTGTGCAGACAATGTTTGTATGGAATGGTAATGCACAGACTCTTCCAGATCACAGCTGTATTTTGAGGCTAGAGGAAGAGAAATGTAGCCGTATATGCTCCTTTGATGTCAAAGGGTTCAAGTACAGGCTTTTCTTTTGTAAAAAAAAACAATCAATATGTCATAGTTTGAAAATAAAACAAAAATATTTTATTTTAGTTCGGACCTTAATAAGCAAAGACCACTAAGATTCACTTTAACTTTAGGTAAATAGTCACTTACGGGAACAAAAAAAAAACCTGCAACTGCAAATGAATGTCTGAAATTGTCAGAAATTTTGTTAGACGCATACAAAATTCCCCATAAGGCTCTGTTCACACCTAGGTGTTTTGTTGTTCAAAGCTAAATGCGACAAAAAACTGAAGACAAGAAATCCTATTCATTTCCATGGCCCCTGTTTACACCTGAGGGTTTTTTTCGCAAGAAGTTTCCCATTGATGTCTATGGGACCAAAAAGCTCTGTAATCTGCCAAAAAGTAGCTCATCGCTTTTTCCAGCTACAGGCATTTTCCTGCTTGCGATACAATGCTCAGGTGTGAACAGAGGCAGTAGAAATGAATGGGATTCCCTGTCTTGAACGGTTTGTCGCACTTACGTTTGAGCAACACAATGCCTAGGTGTGAATGGGGACTAAAGTTAATCTAATCTATAATAGTAAAGTACCACAGCTTTTACCCTCATTAGGAATCTGTTAGAAAAAAATCTCTAGCCAAAACTTTTTTTCTGTTTTAGATATAGTAGGGAATGATTGGAACCCCTGTCAGGTTTCTTTTTCCTCTCTGTGGCCCTGATAAATGGAAGACATTTCTCCAAAATTAAGGGAAATCCGCTTTTGAAACAATAGACACAAGAACAGGTGTCCCCACTGAAAGATTGGCCTTCACTTTCTGTTCTGGGGACAACTACATAATTTCAAATTACTCATAATTTTATGTCCTAGGAACAGATGGTCACCAGGACAAACAAAGAAGTGAATCCCACCAGCGAGGACCGAGGCAAAGCATCTAAGGCTCCCCGCCTTTATCCAAAACTTAAAAAATAGGATTTTTATACTCGCCTTAAAATCCTTTTCTCTGAGTTCATTGAAGGACACAGTGGAGATCTTAAATCTCTTACCAATGGGTATATCGTGCCACCTTCAGGAGTAGGACACTAGGCACAAAACAAAAACTCAGCCTAGGGGCGGCCCCTGGTGGTGGCCAAACCCCCTAGCAGCTAGAGCCAGCTCAGTTAGTCACCAAGCAGTACAAGGCAGTACATAGAACTACCCATGACAATCAGAGGGGTGGGCACTGTGTCCTTCAATGAACACAGAGAAAAGGATTTTACGGTGAGTACAAAAATCCTATTTTCTCTTTCATTCATAGAAGGACAAAGCGGAGATCTTGAATCTCTTACTAATGGGACGTCCCAAAGCAGTGTCTACCGAGGGGTGGGGATAAGACTAAACTACTCCACACAACCAGCGATGCACGCTCGCCACCCAAACGATCCTGTACCGATAGACAGATGATCCTGTACCGATAGACAGCAAGATTTTTCCTCTGGAAAACCAACAGCGTCAAAAAGCCTTACAAAGTAAAAAGAAGGAGGACGACTAACAGATAGAAGTCCCCAGAAAAAAACAGCTGAAAACATTCCCCATGTGCTTGAGATACCAAGCACACCTGAACCAACCCTGAGGGATAGAGGGAAAAAAATCCCAGTGAAGTCCATACGGACCTGTCAGTAAGACTACTGACAACACGTCCCGGAGTCCCCAGCGAAAGAGCTATGTTATCCCCCAAAGAATACTCCAAAGGAGAGAGGCAAAGACATCCTAGGGAAGTCCATACAAACCCACCAGGGCAAGAAACCTCAAGGTCTAAAAGACCAAAAGCGGAAGATACCACCATACAGAGATATCTAGAATCAGTTCCCCCAGAAAAATAGAAAACACAACCCTGCACCCCAAACAGACCTGAAAAGAATCAGGCAGGCTACAATCGGAACAATAGCAGACCCATATGCAAAGGCCAAATCCAAGGGCAGGACTGAAAGATCAAAGGAAGCCCCAAAAATCTCCCTCGCCCAAATGAAGGCATCAACAGTCTAAATTGCAAAGGATGTCGGCAGCCTCTACTTGACCCGAAGAAGGGGAAGTCCCTATGTGAGGATCTGACCTCACCCAGGCTGAGGGTAAAACCGGTGATCCAAGGATTGCAAACGGAACACCAAGAAAGAAACCACAGGGAATCTCCCTGGCTCCCGAAATGGACAACCCCCCCAACCCCACACCCGGCAGATTACCAAGCTACCACCATGAGTAGTTCCCACAGGAGACTCAAAAGACACCCGCAGAGAGTGTCCTCACACAACGCAGGCAAGACTGCAGACACATCCCACTATGTGCAATGAGCAGGCGGCAGCCTGCACCAGCAAAGGGTCCCCACTGACAGCCTTAATCCGGACAGGTAAAAACCTGGTAGACAAAACATGTCAGGCAAAAAACAAAGTAGCCCCCAGGTCCCGCTATGCCTCATAACCGAAAAAGAACAACACAGGTCCTTCTGCGCAGGCGGAACAAGACCAAAAAAATGCATGGCACCCCCAGATACACAACAGGGACAGTCCATAGTAACCATTCGTAACCCACAGGAGTAGGAGGCTGCCAACGAGGGAAAAGCTCATATCCCCAGGAAAAGGGAATGCATAGGTCGGTGTACCAAAACAACTCGTATCAACAGCCCAAAAGGAGGTGAATCCAGGAAAACACACCGGAAGAAGTTACAAGGCAACCCCCAGTGCAAAGAGAATACCTGTGTGTAATAGTTAAAACAGGCGAGGAGAGTGAGCACATTAGCAGGGTCCAATCCTTCAGGTGTCCCGGAAGAAAGGTGAAACACCCATACACCAGACCAGGTCCCATAAAACAAGATCGGTAAACAGGCATGCCGCAGACAGAACAGGCAATAACCAGCAATAATCCCACAAATAATCCCACAAAGGGAGAAAACTGTCAGATGTGTCACAGGTCCTGCAAGACTGTTGTCCATGACAAAAAAATAAACTACCCCACATAGACAACAAGAAGGGGGCCCAAGGGCACACCCAGATCGCAGGTAAGCACCCAGGTAATGCCTGCTGCAAAAAGCATGCAAGTAAAAGAAAAATAATACATCAATGTACTGAGAAGAACAGGCACCGCAATACACACTGCCCTGACAGTAGGGGCTCCACTGTCCCATAGGTTAGTAACTAGACCCTATGCAAGGCAAGCTGTCAGCACATGGGGGCTGGGTCCAAAGGCTCAGCACTGAGACTGGAAGCCCCTAAAACCCCCTTGGTCCCCCGCTTCTGGATGCTGCATCGCTCGGGAAGCCATGGTGATACCTGCCACCAGCGCATACAGGACAAGTGCGTACCATGTCTGTGAGACCCACACACACATATATTGCAGCCCTCTAGGATAACTGCTACATACAGGGCATAACATTGGCGGGGAAGTGCAACTGTCCGCAGCCAAGTAGGGACCCCCACAATAGTTGGTGAGTCACCAGGGGGGAGGGGGAAACTGGAGAAGGGAAGACAAGGTACCAACAGACCACTCACAACGACCACCCTGACAAAAAAGGGGGGGAAAGAAGGGCTGCCATACTTACCGATCGCTGGAGGGTACTGCTTCCGAAGACAGATTGTCTCACCACCGGAATGGGGACGCCGTCAGCCTGGGGGACACTGTGGCAAATCAACTAGGTCACTCAGTCATATGCCCCGAGAACCAGGATAGGGCTATCGCCGCCAACCCCACACGTAGCTAAGGATCTGCGTGCGCTTGATGGCTACTCTGGGGGGGAATACAAGGA